ATATATCATATTTCACCCTTTGATTCAAGTGGGTTATGAACTCCCATTTTTACCCCATATACAGATTGCAGAATCACATCAGTTACACATCCATTGATTTACATATTGCCATACTAGTGTCTGTTGTGTTCTGCTGCCTTTCCTATCCTCTACTATCCCCCCTCCCCTCCCCTCCCCTCCCCTCTTCTCTCTCTGCCCCCTCTACTGTCATTCATTTGTCCCCCTTGTATTATTTTTCCCTTTCCCCTCACTTCCTCTTGTATGTACTTTTGCATAACCCTGAGGGTCTCCTTCCATTTCCATGCAATTTCCCTTCTCTCTCCCTTTCCCTCCCACCTCTCATCCCTGTTTAATGTTAATCTTCTTCTCATGCTCTTCCTCCCTACTCTGTGCTTAGTTACTCTCCTTATATCAAAGAAGACATTTGGCATTTGTTTTTTAGGGATTGGCTAGCTTCACTTAGCATAATCTGCTCTAATGCCATCCATTTCCCTGCAAATTCTATGATTTTTGTCATTTTTTAATGCAGAGTAATACTCCATTGTGTATAAATGCCACATTTTTTTTATCCATTCGTCTATTGAAGGGCATCTAGGTTGGTTCCACAGTCTTGCTATTGTGAATTGTGCTGCTATGAACATCGATGTAGCAGTGTCCCTGTAGCATGCTCTTTTTAGGTCTTTAGGGAATAGACTGAGAAGGGGAATAGCTGGGTCAAATGGTGGCTCCATTCCCAGCTTTCCAAGAAATCTCCATACTGCTTTCCAAATTGGCCGCACCAATTTGCAGTCCCACCAGCAATGTACAAGTGTACCCTTTTCCCCACATCCTTGCCAGCACTTGTTCTTGTTTGACTTCATAATGGCTGCCAATCTTACTGGAGTGAGATGGTATCTTAGGGTGGTTTTGATTTGCATTTCTCTGCTAGAGATGGTGAGCATTTTTTCATGTACTTGTTGGTTGATTGTATGTCCTCCTCTGAGAAGTGTCTGTTCAGGTCCTTGGCCCATTTGTTGATTGGGTTGTTTGTTATTTTATTGTCTAATTTTTTGAGTTCTTTGTATACTCTGGATATTAGGGCTCTATCTGAAGTGTGAGGAATAAAGATTTGTTCCCAGGATGTAGGCTCCCTATTTACCTCTCTTATTGTTTCTTTTGCTGAGAAAAAACTTTTTAGTTTGAGTAAGTCCCATTTGTTGATTCTAGTTATTAACTTTTGTGCTATGGGTGTCCTATTGAGGAATTTGGAGCCCGACCCCACCGACTGTAGATCGTAGCCAACTTTTTCTTCTATCAGACGGCGCGTCTCTGATTTGATATCAAGCTCCTTGATCCATTTTGAATTAACTTTTGTGCATGGCGAGAGAAAGGGATTCAGTTTCATTTTGTTGCATATGGATTTCCAGTTTTCCCAGCACCATTTGTTGAAGATGCTATCCTTCCTCCATTGCATGCTTTTAGCCCCTTTATCAAATATAAGATAGTTGTAATACTTTTTCTTAAGAATGTAAATAATTTAATGCAGTAATGAATATGAGGCTGCTTAGCTGAAATAATCTCTTATAAGGTCAATCAAATTATATGGTGGTATTGTGCATAGATGGATCAAAATATTACCACAGAAATCTTCCTATAAAAACTGATCCTTGGGGCTGGGACTGGGGTCCTCAGTAGCATACTTGCCTGGCATATGTGAAGCACTGGGTTCAATTCTCAGCACTGCATATAAATAGATAAAATAAAAGTCTATAAACAACTATATATATATATATATATATATATATATATATATATATATATTTTTTTTAAAGACTGATTCTTAAACTTTTTTTGCATTAAACTAATTTGAGTTGGGTGCAGTGGCACGGCACATGCCTGCAATCCCAGCACCTTGGGAGGCTGAAACAGGAGGATCACAAGGTCAAAGCCACTCTCAGCAAAAGCTCCTGTCTCTAAATAAAATACAAAATATGGCTGGGGATGTGGCTCACTGGCCGAGTGCCCCTGAGTTCAATTCCCAGTACCCACCCAAAATAATGATGATAATAATAATTTGAGGAGGTTATATATATGTACATTCAAGGACATGGAAAGATGTTTAATATTAAAACCGTGGTCTGATACTACCATACTCATTAGTATGGCTAAAATGAAAAATAATGACGTTGTCAAGTGCAGACAAACATTCGAAGTAACTGTAACTCTTGTTTTTTGCTGATATAATAAATTAGCCATTCTGGAAATGGTTTGCCAGTTTGTATAAAGTTAAACATAGCGTTTACCATATGACCCATCTGCTCCATTACTGGTAATTACATTTAAACATGAAAACACAGACACACACACACACACACACACACACATCTCAATGTTCATAGAGGTTCTATTTATAATTACCCAAACTGTAAACTATAAACTTACTCAATGTCATTCAGTGAGAGATTATATTATGAAACTGATATGCCCATTGATACTATTGAATATGATTTGGCATTAAAAAGGAATGAATTATTAATATGTTTGCAACAACTTGGATTACTCTTAAAAGGCATGAAGCTGAGTGAAAGAAACCTGTCCAAAAAGCATATATGCTGTTTAATTCAATATATAACACTATAACATTCTTGAAGTGACAGAACTTTAGGGATGAAGAACAGATCAGTGGCTACCACAGATTGTAGATAGGGAGGGCTTCTATAAATAAATGGTACAAAGGAGTTTTATATCTTGATAATGGTAGTAATTATACATATTGATACATATGTTATAATTCATAGAACTGTATGCCAAAAGTCGCTTTGCCAGATGATAATTTTTAAAATAAGATTTTTAAAAGTACATATCCTTGGACTTCTTCCCCAAAGATTGCAATTCATTTATACTGTGAGCTATGGCAGACCACATATGAAAAATTCAGATTCAAACATTAATAGTAAAAAACCTAGACCTGTTTTTAATTCTTTTGTCAATCAGGTCTCTGTTGAACTAATAAAAAAGAATGTCCAGAATAAGAATAGAGATAAGAGAAGTGTCTGTTAAGTTTCTCCTAGGTCCTCACAGAGACCAGAGGTGTATACCCATTGGGTTAAGTGTACAACCCTTGTGGTTGGAGTAGAAGGTACTGTGTGAACACATTCGCCTTCTGAGAAAATTCTTACTGCAGTTACATACTTCCAATGTTTAATTTTCTTCCTGTGCCTTGGTACCCCAGCAGTCTTCACCAAGTCCTATGTTAACTGGGGTTTATTCAAGGAATCGAGATATAATATAGCACATATATTATTAGTATATTTCAATACAGGATATTTAGACTTTACATGAAACAAACAGCAGTTCACCAATATGGCTTGTACAGAACATCTCCAAACATATTTTTTCTCTTTGAGCTCTATTCTTAAATATTAGAAATTAAATAGGTGAAGTGTCTTCTATCCCTTCCTTTGGCATCTAAAGGAGCTGTTATTTCTTAGTAAACACTCCACAACAGACTTTGTCCCAACATCTTTCCTTATTCATAAGAAGTGATTATAGGAATATTGACCATAAGAATATTGCTTGTCTGAAAAGATAAAGGCTGATTCAGTTAGTGTAATTGGTTGTAAAGTGTGTGATAAAATGATTTGTACAAGCTGACTATGTTGCACCAAAATAAAATAAGAATATGCCTCTTTTGAATTTGAAAGGGGATAGTCTGGATAGTCTTTGTTACATATGTGTGTATTTTGTTTTGAATTTAAGGCTTAAAATGTGCAAGTTGTTATTTATTTAGCTGGCCACTAGATGGTGTGGTTTGCTAAAAGTTTTACCCTTCCCTCAGCTTTAGAATTGAAACCAATTTCATGGAGTGCGAGCGATTTTCTTAGATCCTATCTTCGTAATTAATTAGTATAATTATCTTAGAAGTTTAAAATTGTAAGTAACCTGAGAGTTAGATAATCAGTGTAGCGTAATATGGACTAGAATCCCAGTCTTACTGAAATCTCACTCCCTGCTGATACAGTGTTTCTTACATAAAAGTATGGGGGAAAATGTTCTTAAAGCTCTTCAATTGTTGATAATGAGATTTTTTCAGAATAATAACTAGCACATAGCATGATACCCAAAAGAAGCTTTGTCTGTATAAACATTTTTTTAAATGTTTATCTGAAATTTTTAATTTTCCAAAAATGTGTTCTCTAGTATACAGTAAGTCTTTAATGAAATTTTTTTGGATCTTCTGCTATAGCACTTATACGTATTGCAGATAAGTGTACCAAATCCCATATCTGAGTTCAGACCAGGCCAAAGAACAGACACCATAAGTGAAATCAGTACACACAGCTAATTGTAAAGTTGAGGATCCAAGACAGGTGGTCAGTTCTATCCCATCAAAGCTCACCATAAACAAAGCTGTAGGTGAACAGTGTTGGGTTTATTGACTCATCACAGTGATCAAGACCATGGCGAGCATGGAAGCATCTCAGTAAAAGGAGCAAGTCTTCTAGGCAGTGGATCTGGAATAGAAAGTAGATGTGATTTGTCAAAAAAGAGATTTCAAGGCTGTGGTGGGTAGTGTAGGTAGGTGGGGTTAAATTATGGGAATTAAGTTTTTAGGCCCTTGTATTGTAAGGACTCCAGCCTTATAGGGAGTTGGGATACAGGTTTTTGCTTATTTTTAAAATAGTATTTTTGGAAGAATAATAAACAGGTTATACTGATTAATTGCAAGAAAGGACAGCTAGATAAAGGAGGCACTTGCTTTTTACTTCATTCCTTTTGAATTTTGTATCATGTTCTGGTATTACCTACTTTTAAGATAGATAACAAAACAAATGATTTTTGTATAAGATATACTAAGATTGTATATACTTATACTTAGATCTTATATACTAAGATTCAGTCACATCCTTGGATACTTAATTTTATGCTTTTGTTGATAAACTCTTTCAGCAGCTATGTTAAATAGAAACTGCTTTTAAATACTAAATAATGTTTTTATGTTTTGTTGATATCTACTCTAGGTGCAAAAGTCAAGAAATAAGCAAGTACGAGAGTTATTCCCAGATGGTTTTAGTATTCATCATGCAGGAATGCTTCGGCAGGACAGAAATTTAGTTGAAAACTTGTTTTCCAGTGGTCATATCAAAGTCCTAGTCTGTACAGCTACGTTAGCCTGGGGTGTCAATCTCCCTGCTCACGCTGTTATTATTAAGGTAGGAGCTTACCTTCTTTTGATACAAATTTGTGTGTGTGTTAAAACAAACCTATGGATTGATTTATTTAGAAAAATATTGTGATTTGGCTGTTTCTTTGACATTGAATGTTAATTTATATAAGGGAAAAAATATTTTCTCCAATAAAATTCAGTTTATATTGTAAAAATTTAACTATCACAGATGATGAAGGGATTAGTTAAAGTACACTTTCGAGATCTTACTGTATTTGCCCAATTTCAGTATGCAGCTCTTCAGGATTATATTTATGTGTACTTATGTAAATTTTTATTAACTTTTCCTTATCTAGGGAACACAAATATATGCTGCAAAAAGAGGCTCCTTTGTTGACCTTGGAATTTTAGATGTCATGCAGATATTTGGCCGAGCTGGACGACCACAATTTGACAAATTTGGGGAAGGAGTCATTATAACAACACATGATAAACTCAGCCATTACCTCACTCTGCTCACTCAACAAAACCCAATTGAGAGTCAGTTTCTGGAAAGTCTTGCAGATAACCTAAATGCAGAGGTAAGATCTGATCAGTCAAAAGTTGGGATAGAATCGTCAGCTTTAAGAATAACGATAAAGGTTCTGTTGGTTTTTACTTTGTAGTATTTAGGAATACAGATTATGCCATATAGTCATAAGACAAAAGAGGCTTGCGGGGGGGCGATATTGTTGATTAACTCACAGCAGTATAAATGTAGACAACAATACTGACAGGAATTCATTGTTAAATGACCATGCTTTCAATCTATGAGGTTTTGCTATAGATCAGAAATCCAATCTAAAGTTTACAAATCAGGGAAACAGAAATAGCAATAACTGATATTTTTAGTGCTCAATTGATGATTAATATTTGTATGAAGTTTTTCTAAGTTTTATGAAGCTTTCTTGTCTTTATTAGGTCATTTGATTAACTTTGTTATGTAAAATGTGATTGCCTAAATTGAGCAAGAGTATAATCTTTTATTTCAGATGTGTGTGTGCAGGCATGTGGGAGTGTGTGGGGGGAGACTTTAATAATAGGATTTAAATAATGGACCCGGAAAGCATAGGTAACATCTCAACTGGTAAAAAAAATAAACATTTTACAATTTAGAGTATATATATCAAACTTTCAAATGAATGTTCAAAGTTCAGTGCAATGTTTTCATGACATTTTTAATGACTGCACAAGTATTCAACACCTTCCTACCTCAGTATCCTTTTTTTTAAAGTTAACTCAAATAATATAGGTAATTTAGGTAAGATGTAAATATTGAATAAATGAATGAAATATTCACAATCATATTCACAATCAAATATTACTTATTGTGTGCAAGTCTATATGGAGTACTTCTTAAACAGCTTATAGAAATTCTATTCGGGTTATTTAGAAGACTCTTTATAGAGAATGAAAGACACACTCTACATTATGTAGTTCTTCTGTTAAGAAACATATAGTCCAAAAGGAGAAAAAAAAGACATGGAAAGAAAATGACAACTTCCATAGAAGTACTTGGTAGAAGGAGAAAATATGTTTGACCTGGGGCTATCGAAAAAGGCTCTTTTCAGGATGATAGTAAACTTAGTCTGAGTTCAGAGGATAGATAAGTTTTGGAAAATAAGTTTGAAAGTAAGAAAAAAAGCATGAAGAGCACTGGTTTACCTTAATAAAATTACAGGACAACAAAAAGAGATTAGAAAATAAAATTTGACTCCAAAGAAAATATTATCATAGCTCAATTTTGGTCCTCATTGCCTACCCTGATTGCATGGTGTAAGTAATTAGGTCTGGGCCAATAGTGTTTATAATGGGATAAAATCTATTACTGTAAAGTGATGGTAATAGTAGCATAGGCTAGAGACTGCTGGGTGCTTCATGTACAGTCTCTTATTCTGTCAGACCTGCTAAGTAAATATTATCCTCAGAGAGATGTGTAACTGCCCAAGGTCACTAAGGTATAATTTTTAGAACTAATATTCAAACTGAGGTCTATTTAGCTCTAAACAAGATCTTTTTATTGTTGCTTAAGACTTCTGTAATCTTATTAAAAATGTAATAAGTTAAAAAAAATACATTACCCTACATTAGGATTCTCCCTTCTTTTCTTCTAAAACCTGAACTAAACATGTTCCAAAATGGTAGCCATAATTTCTCTTACATTTACAGTAAAAAAGAAAAAATAATCCTATTTTTCTAAAATTTTGCTTAAAGAGCATGTCGAGGAATACTAAATCTTAGCCAACCTAGAATTAGTTCTTGATAGTTTTTGTAAGTGGTAGTCACAATGTGTTGATGTTATTATGCAGAAGACACAAAGTAAGTAAAACAATGCTCTTGTCCTCAGGGAACTCTTTCCTGGGGACAAAAAAGTAGCACCAGTGAAACTGTTTGATCTAGCCCTGCGTATAAAAATAGCCCTTAAGTTCATCTCATATTAATTAAAGTACTTGCTAGAAATGTCATTTTCAGAAATGTCAACACACTCTGAGCACAATTCCATTTAGTGATATAAAGGGCATTTAAATAATGAAACATATAGATTGAAATTTTTAGTTACTATAATGAAGTATAGCCATTGCTAAATTTGCTCATATCTTGGTTTACTGGAAGAGCTCCCTGTTAACAGTAAATTTTCCTGTTAATGAAACAAACTCCTTTAAATTATAGTTGAATGTGAAATTAAACTTAGTCATCTGTACACATCAAGTGTGAAATTGGTTTATAACATAAATCTGTGCTGCATTCTTAATGGATTTGTAAGTCCTTAGACTGCAAAAAATCTTCGCAAGACTCTAAAATATCACTAATCAACATAAAGGCTATGTTAGGATAGTAATGTTGCCTTTATTAATATATTTGATTTCATGAATATCAATTTTGACCATGAATTTAGAAAAACTGGAGAAAATATTTTATGAAGTATAATTTAATGCAAACATTTTATGAGACATCTTTGCTGATTGATGCCTAATGGGGCTAGCTCCATAATGCTAAAGTTGAGAAGTAACAAATCCCTTTCCTATAAAGAGCCACTTAACTTTGCACTGTGAGAAACACTGATATATGTGTTTCAGGCTAATTAAAATGTATTCATGTTGCTCAGTGTATATTCTGTTCTAATCCCTATATTCCATACTTTATAACTTTGTTAATTATTCTATATCCTAACATATACATTCTTTGTGTACACAGAGTTCTTGTCTCTTCAGGATGTTGTACATATACTGGCTCTTGAGTTAAAACCTCCACAGTCTGACTACCCTTCCTACTTCCATTACTCCTCAACATAGGCCTTCTGCCCTAGGAAGCTATTACTCTACTCACTTCACTTAGAAAGGCCCAATTTTCTTTTTTATGAAATATAGATGCTCTCATTGTGAAAATTCAATAAGTGCCTGTTCCAAGTTGGTAGGCAATATAGTATCACTATTTTCTGATAATCCCTTCATATGTAGCCCTACTTAAGCAGTTCATATATAGATATAAATACATATATGTATCTATATATACATACATGCTCATGATTATATTTGCTTATTTAGTTTCTAAAAACTATATAAAGTTGATAGAAACCATATGAATGGTTTTAACTAGTTTTTTAAAACACACATATAGTAAAAATAAATAAGGTAACCTTAAAGACTAAAGTTTAAATAGATAAATATGAAGTGACACTTGAGTCTGATTTCTGAATTACCAAATTTGGAGTGGATTTTATTTTTGTTAAAGAAGAATAAAGGTTATTACACTATACACTAATGCCACTTTTACATGTTATATTTTTGAGAATCTGGTATGTGCTAGACTCTGTGGGTGTTGGGCTTCTATTTGTCATCTTAATTACTTATACATGCCTCACCTCCATGACTAGAGAAGTGAGGTCAGGGACCATACTATTTGTTACCATATACATTGTACCTTAAATAATATACAGGCTTTTTAGTGGCTTGTTAGGATTATGGAGATAAATGAATAAATTTCAAAAAGAGGGAGTATGGAAAAAATACAAGTTTTATGAAAGGCTCCTGTATCAGATAGCCACTAGGGGACAGCAAATATTTTCAAGAAAATTTTTATTTTTGTCACTAGGTGGCATTCAAGGATTAGTCTCAAAATAAGGTATACCTTTACATTTATTTTTCTGGATAATCTCTTCCCTTTTAATGAATTATTAGAAGATTTCCATTACATGATCTAATTTTTGATACCTACTTTCTCTTTTAATGTTATAACTAATAGCAATAGGTAATTATTAATGTTTATTTGATAAGTCTGATTTTTAAATTGTCCTTTATAAAATTTTTGTCTCTTGAGATTTGTATAGTATTTTAAAAGAGCATCATAAGGTCAAAAGGGAATGAATATAGGTTGTTATTTTAAAGTAATAACATAAAGTAATAAGGGAATATAGGTCACTATAAAAGAATATATGGGTTATATGACAATACAGTTTTGACTTGCAAATAATGAAATCAGAAATAGGGTGAGACTGTCAGCTATTTATCCGTATCATGAAACTAGTTTTATTTACCTAAGCAGACTGGAAAAACTGTTTAAACATCCTACACAACTCTCTTATTGGCTTAATTTTAATTCTTACTGCTTTTCATTTTCTGAAAAGCCTTACAGTTTAGATTTAGGAAATGTACTTATTTACCTATAGTATGGATGGCTTGGTTATTTTTAAGTAAACTAGTGGAAATTTAGAAGTAAATAGGCAGAATCTTCTTACATATTTTTACTTTTGGTTGTCCCACTTTTTAAATAACAAATACTATGATGTAATATTATAGTGAAAATTATACGCTGCTGTATCTCATCTTCAATTTACTCAAGATAGCTAAATGTACACTTTTTTGTTGTTGTATTTTGTTTTGTTTGGTGCTCGGGATTGAACCTAGGACCTTCTGCATGCTAATCATGTACTGTACCACTCCCAGTCCATCTACATTTTTATTTCATAAAAAAAGTTATATAGAATTAAAAATTATAGGGATTAAATCAAACATGAAGATTTTTATTTTCTTCAATATTAGTACAAAAAGTGGCAGCATTTGTTTTCCTCCCCCCCCCCCTCCTGTGAGTGAAAAAAACGGTTCAGGAACAAATTTATAGCTGTCAAGTTTCACAACTTTGGTTAATTGTTAAAGTAAAAAGGGTACTTTAAGTAAAAGCAGAATTACTTCCTATAAATCCCTTGCTTAAGGAACTATTTTAAGAATACATCTCATTAAAATTCTGCATTAATATCCTTATCTAATCATTTCTTTCTCTTTATTACACAGATCTTATATTTATTGTTGTGTTCTAAATTATTAACCTTTGGTTTTATTTAGTAAATATATCACAAATCACTTCAAATGCTATATTAAACATTATATTTCCTTTCTGAATATAATCTAAACAATCATCCAATGATTACTTTGGTTCAAATGTTTAATTATCATATTTTCCCTTTGCTTGTTTAAGTTTACCAATTAAAAAAAACACCCTATTCTTGTATGATTTTGAAAGCATAAATATTAATATGTCTAAATACCAATAAATTTGCTTTGTTTTGTGCAGAAATAATTGCATTTTCCATTATATGCATATTGTATGTTTATACTGGCAGTCCTCTAAATGAGTATCTCTAAAGGTAAAAACTACCATTGTACCTTCTATGATTTTATTGATGACAGTGCACAGAATCAGGATAAAGATCGACAGAATTAATAATATTTCATTTTTTTTAATAATGTTGAGTTTTATTTTTGAATCTTTATTCATTTTATTTATTTTTTTATGTGGTGCTGCGGGTTAAGTCCAGTACCTCACATGTGCTTAGACAAGTACTCTACCTATAACCCCAGTCCCATATTTTGTTATTTTTATTCTGGTACACTTACATTAAAACATATTCAGTTGTTTTATTATATAAAATGAAACTAAAACAAAATGGATACAGAATATGAAAAAGAATTAACAAATGTCAAAAATGTCCTTAATGCTATGTAGAATTAAAATCCATACAGGGAAAAATAATCAAATGTCATCATTGAGTAAGTTCAGTTTGGGAAGATAGCATTTCCAATGTATTATTCTCAATGAAATAAAGAGGACTGCTGTTTTCGTTAACTGAGAAGTCATTTCAATGATTGTGCTTACCTTCTTTAAATGTAGCATAATGTTCTATTTTGAAAACTTAATTTCTGGCAGAATGGCCTTTGCTGTAATGTTTATGTTTGACTTTAATGCATTACTTTAATTTCTGTTGTATTTTTGATTTGCAGATTGCTCTGGGAACAGTCACAAACGTGGAAGAAGCAGTGAAGTGGATAAGTTACACTTACCTTTATGTACGGATGAGAGCAAATCCATTAGTGTATGGCATTAGTCACAAAGCTTATCAGGTAGAAAACTCAAACTCATTTATTAAAAAAAAAAAAAAAAAAACACCTCAAACCTTCTTTTTGGTTCTGTAATCCTTTCATGATGTGAGGATAAATATTTGCTACTGTTGCCTCATCTGAAAAGAGTTATGGACCTACAAGAAAAATAAAGAGCCTTAATCGTTTTTTAAAATACACTAAAGAAAATTAAATTGGTTCCTTGTAATTATTTTGCTTTATTTGAATCTCTTTTCCCATTAATAATGTTGATATTTGTATCATTCTATTTTTCAGGTATATTTCTGTTAGATGTTAATATTTCACCATGATTTTTTACTCTGATACATTTAGTTTTAGAAATAACCAGATATAAGGAAACATATAGACCATTTTTAAAAATAGGCTTGTTATATACAATCTACTCCTCCTGTCATGTCCCTTCTATGCCCTATAGTGAAATTAAAAGATAGCATTAATGCATTATTGTCTTAACAGTTTAAAGTTTGAAGTCAGTTTCATGATTCAATGTGTATGCATAGACAGAGAATTAGATACATGTGATAACAGGTCTTACTATGAGCTTTATAGTTGTGTGGTCCATGTGGCTTACAGATCTTGTCTTTTCTTTAGAACTATGCTTTATATACTGTAAATGCTTCCTAATTACAGATAAAATTCAATTGTAATGTAATAAAAACATTATTTCACCATCTTCATATGATATTTACCTCTGTTAAGTCAAAATTATTAAAGAGGTTGAGTCTAGCTCAAAATTATAGTTTTTCTCTATTTACCAATACACATACACACAAATATTGTATTGATAAATACACATACATGTGCATTGTGTGTGCGTGTGTTTGTGTTTGTGTGTGTGTGTGTGTATTGGTAAATGCTATGTATAAATATATGTGCATTTGTTATCAAAGCAATTGCCAAACTTTTGGGGTTTTTCTTTCATTTTTCCTTTTCTTGTGCAGTAGATTTTGCCATGGAAGAGTTGAAACTTAAGACTTAGGGGGAAAAAATTAAGAATAGTAGTAGCAACTAGTTCTGAAGCTGGTAATCTGAAATTCTTAGGTTTTTATACTTGGGTCTTCTTTACATAGAATTCCACTACTTTTCTGCTTCTCAGTTAAAATATGTGCTGATCTTCAAATGGATGTCCTATTTTATAAGCGATTTGTTCTGTTATAAAATATAACTGCATTATAATCTGATTTTATACATTTTTATATTTATTAATTTTTAACTGGTACTCTATAGACACACATAAAGGTGGGATTCACTGTGGGTTATTCATACATGTGCATAGCATAATTTGGTCAGTTTCTTCACTCAGTTCCTCCCTTTTCCATCCCTTCTCCCTTCCCTCTGTACCCTTTATCTACTCCACTCATCTCCTTTCTATTTTCATGGGACATTGCCCACCCCCTTTCCCTATTTTTTCAGTTCCTTAGTTAACTCTTGCTTCCACATATGAGATAAAACATAAGGCCATGACGTTTTGAGTCTGGCTTATTTCACTTAGCATGATGTTCTCCAGTTCCATCCATTTGCCAGCAAATGCCATAATTTCATTCTTCTTTATGTCTGAATAAAACTCCATTTTGTACATATACCATATTTTCTCCATTCATTCATATGTTGATGGGTACCTGAACTGGTTACATAACTTGACTATTGTGAATTGTGCTGCTGTGACTCAGCAATCCCAAAAGACCTTGCACTTTTTAAATAATGTGTCTCTAAATGTTCTCATCACAAATATGATCATTGTGAGAATAGTCAAAGGTACAATGAAAATTTTCTGAAGGACTAAAAATAAACAGGTACATGTATTTTCATGGGCTAAATATCCCTTGGAATAAGATAAACACATCAATTGATTTTTAAGTATTAGGTTAATATCAAAAGTTTTTTTGCAGTATAATGAAAACTTTAACATAGTTTTCTGGTATTTAAAAAAGAGGAATTTTGTTTCATTCCAGGATTCATAGTTTTACTGCCTTTACAGTTCTATGTCTTAACTTTTTCTTTAACTTATATGTTTTGATTTTGTTGCTCTGTAAATTTGTATCTATAGAATTCTTATAGACAAACACAAATCAAGTAGTTTGGACCTTGTATATCACCTTGTATATCACTTATAGCAAATATTTGCTGATAATACTCTTGATGCTGTGTTACTTATCTGCAGTTGGTTTCCTTTTGCCTCATTTTTCTGATTTTTAAAACTCTTTAAGCTGCCATAAAGATCTAAATTAAAACAAATGGCAGAAGTATTAACTCATTAGATTTCTAAGGAGTTTTACTACTTCTCCAACCCCCCATTAAAAGTCATATTTTACATTATTGCTCATAACAAGAGATTAATCTTCAAGACTTAGATGTGTATGGTTGTGCACTTGTACAGTATGGTTGTGCATGTATGTACATAGCAACAAGAATATTTGTTAGTATTTTGTATTAAATATCAATTTATACTTAGAAAAAAATTATAATAGTTTTAAAACTATATAAAAGTTCATTGTCAACTTCATTTTATTCTTTGTTTCTATTATTATTATAGACAAAATGGATTTTTCCACCAACAGTTGTGAAAATTACTAAAACAATAGAATTGTATTTTTAAGGGGATAACCATGCATTTATTTTTGTGTATTTTATCTTTGACAGGGGAAAGCATTCTTGCCATCATATCTCCAAATGACTGATAAAATAGAAGTATGGTTTGGTAATTTAAAGTGCCTATTTAAGTGTGGGAAGGAGAAGATGATGTTTTTTTTTTTCCTTATACCTGATTCCCTGTGTCTATAACCTTAAAGATTATAAGACCACGGAAGAATAATATTGGTATCTAAAGAGACTGAACAGATTGATAATTCTATTATCCAAAAGACTATGCGGATTGATAATTTTAACGAATTTTAAAGCTTTCTTTATTTAATCAAATAAAATCTTTTCTAGTTGTTTCTTAAATGTATAGAATGTACTTCAGAAATTATAATTGAAAAATCTCTGATCAGCAGCTTCAATACTGGGTATATACCCAAAGGAAATGAAATCAGTATGTTGAAGAATATCTGTACTCCTGTGTTCATTGCAGCACTATCCATATTTACAAAGAAATGGAAACAGCCTAAGTGTTCATCAGCTTATGAATGGATAAAGAAAAATCTAATACCTATATACAAATGGTGCATTATTCAGCTATAAAATAAGACTGATATATTGTCTTTGCAGTAACAGGGATGGAACTGGATATCGTTATGTTAAGTGAAATAAGCTAAGTAGAAAAGAACAGGTACCACCTGATAGCATTCATGTGTAGAATCTCAAAAAGTTGATCTTACAGAGGTTGAAAGTAGAATGGTGGTTACCAGGGGCTGCAGAGAGGGATGGGGAGAGACTGATCATTGAGTACTAAGTTTTTACCATAAATAAATGATAAATGTTAGACTGATCAATGAGTACCAAGTTTTTACCATAAATAAATGATAAATGTTTGAAAGACAGTTGTATTTAATCATTTTTAAATATTACACAATATATTTTTGTATTGAAACATCACTTTACACCATTGATACATATAATTTTATGCTTCAAAGTACCAGTTCAAAATTAAGTTTTTAAAAGTCTAATTAAAACATCAAGAAAAAAATTTAACTTCCATAAATGGGTATTTGTTTGCAGGTGAGAGGTTTTTTTTTAGAATTGAAGTGTTTATATTTCTTTCCTGTAGATTGACCCAACATTAAGAAAGCATCGAGAACAGTTAGTCATTGAAGTTGGACGAAAACTAGACAAAGCTCAGATGATTCGTTTTGAAGAGAGAACTGGTTATTTTTCCTCAACGGATTTGGGTAGAACCGCCAGCCACTATTATATTAAATACAATACCATTGAGGTAATATTCTGAGAGGAACAAATGCAAAAATGTTTGTTTTTATAGGCAAGTACTTTCTAGACTTCAAAATATATTAATAATGCCAAATAACAAAAGCAACTTATGAGCAAATACATTTATTTTATATGAATTCAGCAATATACTTTCAGTAATGACAAGAAAAAAAAAATGACTTTAGATAGCAATGGTGCTCTCCTGCCATCCTGTTTCATGAACATATCCTAAACACTACATACACCTGAAATAGTTGAAGCCTATTGGTGAGTCTTATGGAGTGAATGCCAGAATGATTTTAAGCTGGAGTTGATAGCTTAATGATTTCCTTGAATAAAAAGTTGAAAACTTAATTGCATGTTAGTAAGAAACACTAAAGAAAAGTTTAAGAAACTACTAAAATTACCAAGTCAGCCTGTTTGTACTAGATGATTAATTTAAGGAACTTTTAAGGCTAATTTTGACCATATAATTATAAGAGAATTTGTTGCTTTTTAACAACGTCCTGTTTAAGATGATGTGTTACTTTAATATTTTTACTTTTAAAAAGCATATACATTTCTTTATGTGTTTTCATGTACATATATCAGTACATGTCAATACAATGATAACCCGTTGAGAGAATACTTAAATTTGAAGAGATTGAGATAGGTTAAGTTGAATTTTTATACTTTTTTCAATAGATAGTCAGTGTGTTTTGAGTTTTTTCTTAAATTCATTTTTGCCTTTTGTACATAAAGTTGTTTTTAAAATAGGAGAATAGAAATCATCAAAAAGAAAAACTCAGTTTATATGAAATCTCAGGTTTGTAGATTTAATATTTGCTTATATATAAAACAGGTTTCAGAAAAACACCTTTATGTGCTTACTGGGTTTTCCTCATTTTTTCAGAATAACCTATATGTGTATGACACTAGATTTCTGCAAGACCTCTTCATATATTATCTCAGAGCTGTGATTTGGTGGTTCCTCACTCCCAGACCTAGTCCTTCACTCCTTGTATCACCTACTCTCATCTCTCATTGTCTCTATGAGACAGCCTTTCTCATTTGTCCTCTTGCTAGTAGACTGCTGCCAAATTACACCCTAACACTTTGTTTTTTGCAGTTCTTTTTCAGCAACTCTAGCCCTGTAGTACCTTTGTCTTTTCCATAAGGCCTTTAACTGATTTTTCTGTGTATTCTCGCTATTCATATTTTGAGACTCTTTGAATTGCATGTTGTCTAGTTATTTCCCTCTGAATTTTATATGATATATGTAAGCTTATAATTAGTAAATGGCGCAGATTTCCATATGCCTATACTGAGGTCAAGACCAGAATGTTATGTTGGACATTTTTAGACATTTAGTATAGATTTCAATAATGATTTTACTGATCTTTTTTGGTTCTAATGGCTTTTTTAACTATGTTTAGGAGTGTTTTTTAATCTTTCATAAATTTGATAATATCTTTTGATCTTCTATTTTAATTAAATGTGACACTTACTTTGGTAGACCTTTAATGAACTCTTCGATGCTCACAAAACAGAAGGTGACATATTTGCGATAGTCTCCAAAGCCGAAGAATTTGATCAGATCAAGGTAAGATTACTTGAAGTTTCAGTCAGATATTACATAGACACATTTATTCATTTATGAAAGTTTGAAATTAATTGTTATTCCTGATAAAATATAAAAAAGCCATATGGCATATTTGGAGTATCAGCAGTGTTTTCTATTGTACAAGAAAACTCAGTGTTCTAGATAATAATATCATAGCATACCTAAAATCATGCTTTGCTTTGTATCCCAAATCAAGAAATTTAAATAGGTTTTGTATTAATGAATTTATCAAAAAATATATTCTATATGTTTTGGTTTATTTGCAATATAGTTCACTGAAGAAAATGTTAAGTAAATGCGTGATTCAAATTAATAAAGAAATTAATATTTCTGTACCCAAATTATAATTTAATGTTATTAACAGTGAAAACTTTAATACTTTGAAACAGTACTTCACAACTTTAAGCTATGATTGCATTTTTATACCATATAAAAATATATGACTATAATGAATGCATTTGAAGATAATCAAGTTTGCCCTAATCAGTTTGGGCAGAGGTTTTACCCTGGTCAAATAAAAAATGAAACCTCATCAATTGAAGGATGGTGAGGTCAGATGACTTATTTTTTGTGGCATATCAAATTTTTATGTGTCAATGGCAACTTTAATATTGGTGATGAACAATAAAATATAATTGTACCCACCTCAACATAATTTCATGTTATATTTTATAATTTACCTATGGGAAAATCACTGGGTTTTAGCTGTACAAGAGTAAAATATTACATTATACTAAAAGGCAACCTTAAAAACATGCAATGTGGTTTTTCAATAAATTAGACCAAATATTACTATAAAAATATTGACTCTTCTAGGTCAGAGAAGAAGAAATAGAGGAGTTAGATGCTCTATTAAACAATTTTTGTGAACTCTCAGCTCCTGGAGGTGTAGAAAATAGTTATGGGAAAATAAACATCTTACTTCAAACTTACATCAGCCGAGGAGAGATGGATAGTTTCTCCCTTATATCAGATTCTGCATATGTTGCACAGGTAAGAATCTTACTCCCCATTTTCTCTTCTTTGTTTATCTCTAGAGACCAAGGAATTAATTCTGTTATTCTGTGAATACATTACTTTGAGAAATTCTATGAACTACTGTTACTCCTTAGAATTAAAGATATTGATTTGTACATCTTTTATGCAACCTGTGCTTGTAAATCAGGACTGGGGGTGAAAGTTAGTGGTTGGTTTGGCTTAGTAACAAATCTATCTTATATAAGGCCTAATATATATATATATATATATTCCAGTATGATAGGTCTCTGATTTTAAATATTGAATACTGAAAGAAAATTGTTCCCTAAACCTACAGCTCATTTAATTTATAACTTTTAAAAACTGCTATGGTAAAAAAATTCTTCATATATTTAAACCGTCATGTGAAATAAAGTAAGTTATTTTTTGTCTTCTTTGTCTTTCATTTTCTTTTCTTTTTTTGTTTTGTTTTGTTTTGTTTTTGGTAATACTACAGATTGAACTGAGAGGCTCTCTACCACTGAAATATATCCTCAGTCCTTTTTTACTTTTTTCTTTTAATTATTTATTTTAGTACTAGGGATTGAAACCAGGGGCCCTAAATCACTGAACCACATCTCTAACCCTTTCTAATTTTTTATTTTGAAACAGGGTCTTACTAAATTGCTCAGGGCCTAGCTAAATTGCTGAGAATGGCTTTGAACATGCAATCCTCCTTTCTCAGCCTCCCACACAAGCACACCTGGCTTTATTTTTTCCTTTAAGACAAGGTCTTGCTGCATTGCTGAAGCTGACCTTGAACTTATGATTCTCCTCCTCAACCTCTGGAGTTGCTGGGATTGCAGGTGTGTGCCACCATACCTGATTCCAAGCATACATTTAAAAAAAAAAAAAATTCCTAACCTTTAAAGTATATATTTTTATTATTTTTATCTAGAAATACCTTTATTAAGTTGAGAATTAAATTTTAATCTTATATAATTACGTTATCTCATGTAATCTATTATATTTGTAATTTTATTCAAAGATTTAATATAGAAAAAGTATGTTCTAAATTTTTTTGTTTTAAAATTCTTATTTTTATTTAAATGTAATGAATAGTGTTGTTGGGTTTTTAAATTTTATTTAATTATTTTAATTAGGTATACTGGACAGAAGAATGCATTTTGATTCACTGTACACAAGTACAGCATAACTTTTCATTTCTCTTGATTGTGCACGATGCAGTGTCATATCATATGTGCAGTCATTTATGTACCTAGGGTAATAATGTCCATCACATCCCACCATCTTTCCTTCTGCCTCCATATCCCCTCCCCTTCCCTCCCTCCTCTTTGCCCAATCAGAATACCTCCATTTTTCCCATGCCCTCCCCCATTATGGATCAGGATCCACTTATCAAAGAAAACATTCAGCCTTTGTTTTGGGGGGATTGGCTTTCTTTGCTTAGCATGATATTCTCGAACTCCATTCATTTTTCTGCAAATGCCATGATGTTATTCTCTTAATGCTGAGTAATATTTCATTGTGTATATATACCACAGTTTCTTTATCCATTCATCTATTGAGGGGCATCTAGGTTGCTTCCACCATTTAGTTATTGTGAATTGAGCTGCTATAAACATTGATGTGGCTGCATTACTATGTTATGTGGATTTTAAGTCTTTTGGGTAAAGACCCAAGAGTGGGATAGCTGAGTCAAATGATGGTTCCATTCCAAATCTCCATACTGCTTTCCAGACTGGTTGCACAGTTATGCAGTCCCACCAGCAATGTATGAGTGTGCCTTTTCCCCCTCATCCACGCCAACACTTCTTGTTGTTTATATTCTTGATAACTGCCCTTCTGACTGGAGTGAGATGAAATCTTAGATTAGTTTTGATTTGCATTTCTCTAATTATTAAAGATGTTGAACATTTTTTCATATATTCATTGATTTATTGTATATCTTCTTCTGATAAGTGTCTGTTCAGCTCCTTAGCCCATTTATTGATTGGGATTTTTTTACGTGTTTTTTGAGGTCTTTATATATTCTGGAGATTAATTCTCTTCCAACGTGTGTGTGGCAAAAATTTGCTCCCAAAATGTAGGCTTTCTCTTGGCCTCATTAATTGTTTCTTTTGCTGAGAAGAAGCTTTTTAGTTTGAATCCATCCTGTTTATTAATTCTTGATTTTATTTCTTGTGCTTTAAGAGTCTTTTAAGGAAGTTGGAGCCTAATCTGATGTGATGAAGATTTGGGCTTACTTTTTCTTTTTCCTCTGTCAGGCTCAGGGTATCTGGTCTAATTCCTAGATCTTTGATCCATTTTGAGTTGAGTTTTGTGCATGGTGAGAGATAGGGTCTTAATTTCATTTTGCTGCATATGGATTTACAGTTCTCCTAGCACCATTTGTTAAAGAGGCTATCTTTTCTCCAGTGTATGTTTTTGGCTCCTTTTTCTAGTATGAGATAACTGTATTTATGTGGGTTTATCTCTCTGTCTTCTATTCTGTACCATTGATCTACATGTCTATTGGTGCCAATACAAGCCGTTTTTGTTACTATAGCTTTGTAGTATAGTTTAAGGTCTGGTATTGTGATGCCTCCTGCTTCACTCTTCTTGCTAAGGAATGCTTTTGCTATTCTGGGTCTCTTTATTTTTCCAAATGAATTTCATGATTGCTTTTTCTATTTCTATAAGGAGTGACATTGGGATTTTAATTGGAATCGCATTGATCTGTATAGTGCTTTGGGTAGTGTGGCCATTTTGACAATATTTATTTTGCCTATCCAAGAACATGGGAGATCTTTCCATCTTCTAAGGTCTCCACCAATTTTTTTCTTTAGTATTCTGTAATTTCCATTGTAGAGGTCTTTCACCTTTTTTGTTAAGTTCATTTCCCAAGGTTTTTTTTTTAGGCTATTGTGAATGGGGTAGTTTTCCTGATTTCTCTTTCAGAGGATTCATCACTGATGTAGAGAAATGCATTTGATTTATGGGTATTGATTTTATATCCTGCTACTTTGCTGATTTTATTAATCCATTCTAGAAAGCTGAGTTTGAATAATAAATTTACTGACAAATTTAAAAACACATTGGACCTAACAACCCAATCTCCCCATTTTATTCTTCAGAATGCAGCTAGAATCGTTCGTGCCCTTTTTGAAATTGCTCTGAGGAAACGTTGGCCTACCATGACCTACAGGCTCCTGAATCTTAGTAAAGTCATCGACAAGAGGCTTTGGGGTTGGGCTAGCCCTTTGAGACAATTTTCAGTGTTACCACCACACATTCTAACAAGATTAGAAGAAAAAAATCTTACTGTAGATAAGCTGAAAGATATGAGGAAAGATGAAATAGGTAAGAAGGGGGAAAAATTGCTTAAATGAATTTTTCTGTGAAAATAAAATGTTTTACTAGATATAAAAGTATTGTGAATTTTTATATTATTCAACATAAATTTATTTTTCTTCTTTTTTATTTCTGTTTTTTTAGTACATTATAGTTTTGACATTCATGAATTCATATAACTCATATTTTATATGTAGGTTCAAATTTTGAACCTACATATAAAATCTCCTTATTTATGCAAAAGAGCAAAAATCACTCCAAATTTTATGAAGTTATTTAGCAGAATTAGCAATTAAGGCTGGATGTGGTCACACATGCTTATAATCCCAGCAGTTCTGGAGGCTGACTGAGATAGGAGGATCACAAGTTCCAGGTCAGCTTCAGCAACTTAGCAAGACCCTGTCTCAAAATTAAAAAAAAAAAAAAAAAAAATTAAATGGGCTAGGGATATTGCTTAGTGGCTTAACTGCCGGCCCTGGGTTCAACCCCCACTACCCACTCCAAAAGAATTAGCAATTAAAATAGTTTATATTACCAAAGTTTTAAGTATTTTAAATGTAGATCCTACCCATACATGATAAGAATCATTCAGTGATATTTATTCTCATTTTGTTTCTTAATGTTGAACTAATTTCAAAGATTTTGTTATATATATCAGCAGTATTACAGTAAAAATTTAATTGAACAATAAGCTCTACATTCTCCAGAGTTTCTAAACAAGCTTAATTACACAAATATGCCTTTAAACCCAGTTGTTATCAGTGCATACATAGTATTCAGTGTCCAGCATTTTGTGTAATATTGAAAAGTTATTCCTAAACGTACATTTCCACAAATCCTAACATTTATTGAATAAATGTATAATGCATTATTAGACAGTATTTATTTCTGCAAAGGATAAACATTACACATGAAAAGAATCATTCTGAAGACAAATAAGAAGGAGGATTACTTCTGGCAAGAATTCTAAAGATGAAAATGAGCTCAGTGGCACACCCCAGTAATCCCAACGGCTGGGGAGGCTGAGACAGGAGGACTTCGAATTCAAAGCCAGCCTCAGCAAAAGCAAGGCACTAAGCAACTTAGTGAGACCCTGTGTCTAAATAAAATTACAAAATAGGGTTGGGTATGTGGGTCAGTGGTCAAGTGCCCCTGAATTCAAGCCCTGGTACCAAAAAAAAAAAAAAAAAATTTCCAAAGATGTTTAGAGAGGCTGAGATAGTTATTACATTTGTACTCTAAGATAGAGTAGAAAAAAGGGCAGAAAGAAAGAGGGATTATTAACAAAGTAAGTTGACTGTATACATATTGCACACTTGATGCTTTAAAATATAATCTATTTTCACTTAATTGCTCAAATCAGTTAGTCACATTTGTTTTTTAACAGCCTCTACCCTTGATATTCCCATGCATGTCTGTATTCCAGAACCTGATTATTTTATGTTTTCTAGAAGTGGGCCTGGGTGGATGAGTTGTATTTAATTCCTGAAGCATTTCTTGTGATTTTAGAGTTCTAAAGTAGACCCTGAATAAACCAGTGGCTATGTACATAAAATGTTAAATATTTCTGTATGTGTTCTAAACTAACTCAAAAAGAAGTAGTTCCGTTTATAGTAGTTTAAGCACAATATCAAGGCGCAGAACCCTATTAATACCTAAAGGAAACTTGATACTGATTTCCAGAGCTATGAATTGCTAATTCAAGTTAACTATTACAAAATATTCAAACATGCTAGGTCAAGAATGTCACCTATTCTACATAGCAAATCATAAAACAAGCAATAAAATCACCTACTCTGAAATCCCATTTACAAGTCAGATTATATTGCTTTTTTTCTGTCTGGACACATTTCTTCTATGTGATATTTTTCTTTCAGGTCACATTTTGCATCATGTGAATATTGGACTGAAGGTCAAACAATGTGTGCATCAGATTCCTTCTGTTATGATGGAAGCATCCATTCAGCCTATCACACGGACTGTCCTCCGAGTAACACTCAGCATCTACCCTGATTTCACATGGAATGATCAGGTAGAAGTGGAAAATATCTATATCTATATTAAACTAAAATGTCTGTACCTCAGATTTTACTACACCTCCCTACATCTGTCCTCAGAGAGCCTAGGGAACTTAACTTTGCAACACTGGACAATATTTTAGTGGTTTCAAATCCATGAGAACTTTGCCATTTATTTTTGCCCTCTCTATTGACTCTCATTTTTGCTTACCAAAAATCCATTTTTAAATCATGATGTCTCTCAAAATACTGTTCTCTCCTTTTCTTAAACATTAGACTTGTAGAAAAGGTATGCTACATTTTTTTCTTGTCACCAGTTTCTTTTCTGCTAAGACTGCTTCCTCAAGGATCTCTAATATCTGATTGACCAGTTGCCATAATAAGCAGATTTTTTCAGTTATTTTCTTTCTCTGATTAGATAGCATTTTATATGTAGCTCTTCCCTAGAATGTCTTTTCTTGATTCTTGATGCTATTAGCTTCAAGAATGTAAAACCTAACTTGCCTCAATGTGATTTACGTAAGGTAATATATCCTTTTGTACAATAAAAGGTCCACAGATCAGATAGGCCCTAAGGATGGTCCAGTCTTGAGGATAATAGTATTGTTCAAGGCCCAAGATCTTTCCACTTCTTTGCTCTGCTCGAATTGTTGGATACTTCCCAAATGTTTTCCTACTTCTTTTTTCACTTTCAATGGAGTAAGGGGAACACATACCCACTTCCTCAGCCCACAAGATAAACTGTAAGCCCTCTTCCCACACATAATGCCCCCCCACCAGTCTAATTAGGCCAAGTGTTTGTTATGGACTTCTCCTTTACTATAGATATTGTCAGGAGAATGCCATGAGCTGATTGGCTTTATGTGAATCAAAATTATCCCAGGTGTTATGATTTAAATGTGGTGTCCCCCAAAAGCTCATGTGAGACAGTGCAAGAAGATTTAGAGGAGAAATGATTGGGATGTGATCTCCTTTTCATGAGTCCCTGAGGGAGAAGTGAATACTGAACAGTATTGGACCGTATAAGGAAAAAAGAGAGATTGGCTTATATAAACAAAATATGGTATATGTGTCCAGTGGAATATTATTTGACAATAAAAAGAAGCAAAGTACTGATGCAGTTTAAAACATGGATGAACTATAAAAATATTATGGTAAGTTTAAAAAGCCAGTCACAGAAAACCATTTGTTATATCATTCCATTTAACAAAGTGTTTAGAATAGCCAAATCTATACTTCTAATGAATATAAGTACTCTCTTGGAGGTGATAAAATTGTTCTAAAATTATATTATGTTCATAGTTGTACAACTTTGTAAATATGTTAAAACCATTGAACTGTATACTTTAAATGAGTGAACTTTGTTTTATAAATTATATATCAAAAAAGTTGTTAGACTAATAGGTGCTGATATGTAAACAGTACTGTTACTTGAGTTATGATTTTCATAGTACTAGGATAATTTTTCTTCTAGGTCCATGGGACAGTAGGAGAACCCTGGTGGATTTGGGTGGAAGATCCTACAAATGATCATATTTATCATTCAGAGTATTTTCTAGCTCTTAAAAAACAGGTGAATATAACATTATTATTTAGCTATCATAAAAAAATATAAACAAGTTTTGTTTTTTACTATCTCTCTGATTTCAGAGTGCCATCAAAGTTTTGTTATGTTCTGTTTTTCTGTTTGGTTTCAAAGGAACACAGAGATTCAGTGTGACAATATTGATTATTCAGTCTGATCCTAGTTCAAGAAATTCATTTATAATCTTTACCATGGTTTAAGGCATGGCTTCTAGAGGCATGGAATATATAAAATAAGGGGGGTAAAAATAATTTCCTGCAAAATTATAAATCACTTAGTGAAAAGATCATTCCTTGTCAAATTCTCTGTAAAGACTCAATAGTTGCTACATCTTTAACTCATGTTTTATTTGTAATTTCTCTTTTTATCAAAGAGAAAGAAAGCTTCCGATTGAAAATCTTGACTGGATAGCAATAGTATTTTATAGCTATATTTTGTTTTCATGCATTTATCTTCTTGATAACCATGTAACCTATTTATTTTTAAGAGGTTTCAGATATTCCACTTAAGATACTGATCAGATTTAAAGAAAAATATTAAGTAAATAATAATATGGTACTTGAAATTAAAGAAATCATGAAATAATTGAATGAATCATGTTTGGGAAATTCTGATAATGAATCAAACTGGTAACATGTCATAATGATAACATATATATAAATAATATAAAGTGAGTATAAATTCTTACCTTCTGTTATGTCAAATAATCCTCAGAAGGAAATCGCCTACAAGTTACTGTAGTACCTGAATATCTGAGCTATTTAGAAATCCAACATAGTTTATTTTTATTACATCTTGTATAGATAAAATTAAGAATTGACTACTAAGAACTTTATTTATTTTAGACTTTATTTCACATTAGGTCATTAGTAAAGAAGCTCAACTACTGGTATTTACAATCCCTATTTTTGAACCTTTGCCTTCCCAATACTATATCCGAGCAGTTTCTGATAGATGGTTAGGAGCCGAGGCTGTTTGTATTATCAACTTCCAACATCTGATTCTACCAGAGAGGCATCCACCCCATACAGGTAATAAATTGAACATTAATGTGTTGATGTGAATTATTGAATTCCCAAAATTGTTATTTTAATTAATGTTGACAAGTATAAAGTTGTTTTATTCTGAATCAAAGTCCAACTTACTTGACAATATTGTTTCTAAACTGTATGTTCAAAATTTTCAAAATCAAATATGTATATGCAGATAGTCAAATTGTGAACCTTTAATTTTTGTTTATTTAAGCTCCAAAAGCATTAAAGTAGGCTTAGTCAATTCTGATAATTATAGTAATGATGAGAGTTACTATTTCTGTGTTACTGGACTTTCATCTGTACATATAATCATTATTTCTCCATATAGCCTTCCTTTTTCATTGCAATTGTCATTTATCATTTAATCTGTATTCTCTGTGAAACTTTTGAGATATCTCTTTTTTCTTACATTTATTCCAATTTACATAAACTTATTTCTAGTACAGGTTATCTTTTATCCAAAATGTTTAAAACTCGAAGTGTTTCAAATTTCACATTTTTTTTTTAGATTTTGGAAAGTTTGTATATATATAACAAATTATTAAAAGGGATATAGAGTAAGAGCATTCAGCAGCATTTTTTATTGTTGCAATGTATAAACTCTAGGTTTTCGTAACATGAACAAATGCCTTTCTATTTTGATTTATTAAAAAAGCAAAATTTCATGAATAAATCTTTGCAGTGATACTTTCAAGTACCCCTGAAATCTATTTCAAAAACATCTTGAAACTAATTAGTGTACTAATTTCATTTCTTGAGAATTCACAATTGATGAGTATTGATTTTCAGAGATCCTTACTTTACTTTACAGACATAAATTAGGAGTCAAATTTTCTTTCCCATGTATTTCAGACAAACTGTTTGACTTTTCAGAATAAAAATGTTTTCTGACTACTTTAAATAGCATGCTATTTGACAGTCCTTTCAGAAGTGAAAGGAGACCTAAATATGACTTTATAATCTTTCATTTTGTCAAATGTACACCTTATTCATATTATTCATTGAGAGATTCTTTATACTACATCTCAATTTCTCTTTGATATCTTGGCATAGCAAAACCAAAAAATTTTATCAAAATAGAATGATATTGAGACTGTATTATCTAGTAATCTACTTATTGCAGAGGATCTTTCTGGTCTTATTTCATCAAATGTGCTTATGTGATATCTAGAATCTCATAAGTTCAAAATATGTGGAAGTGATGATGTTTTAACTTAAAATATATGCTTCTAATATCATTGCTAGGTTTCTTTCTTTCATTAAAGTACTTAATTCTACATATATTAGCATTATATGTTAATGCCAATTTAATAATTTCTTTATTAAGCAACCAAATACATATCAACCTATTTATATAATTAGCTGATGTAGTATAAACATACCATCTAGGTAAAATCACTGTAATAGATCATCTTAATTTAACATTGTCAATAACTGTGCATTTGACATTGTACAATGTTTTTTAGTCTTTTATTTAAAAAAAATATGTTTGATTAGCATTGCATGCCTTATCTTGCAATGTCTCCCTCCTTCCTGGATTTCCAGTGCTACGGAAAATTTAAACAATTATAATCAGACATAGAGAGTATGAAGTTAGCTCTCAGCTGTCCTTGTAATAGAATAGAGCAATGGGTGGGGCATAGATAACTTTTTAAAGTCATCTTTTTATTTTGGGGTTTTTTTTTTCCTTTAGGGACAAGGTACCCAGGATTGAACCCAAAGGGCACTTAACCACTGAAGCACATCCCCAGTCTTTTTATTATTATTATTATTATTTTGAGAGATAGGATATCACTAAGTTGCTGAGGCTGTCGTTCAACTTGGGATCTTTCTGTCTCAGCCTCTGAGCTGCTGGAATTACAGGCCTGTGCCACCATGCCTGCCTAAGTTAGTTTTTGTTTTTAAGTACATTTTTTAGAAGAAAATTTACCATATTTTTCATTTTGCAACCATACTATAAAGGTCAGATCAATGTGTCCTCTTAACTGATTTTTTTATATCTTCTTTTTTAAACTTTTCTAATAATTATCTTATTTCTTTGGCACCCAGTCCATATAATGAGAAGCAACCAAATCTAGTGTCTTTCAATACATAAATTTACTTTACAGACATAAATTTCCCCAATGATTAGTGAAAGTAAGAAGACCTGTACCCTTTAAGGAGAGTTTTTGGTTTTGTTTTGTTTTGTTTTACTCAAGTCATGCTGTGTTCTGAAACTACTATCCTTGTTCCTTCCTGAGTAAGGCTAAATTCATTTTTGTTTCCATTGGCTGTACCAAAAGCTCACTCAGCTACTCAGGATTGGTCAGTGTCTAGCAGATCAAAAGTAATCTGTTGTTAGTGACCCTTCCAATACTGCTGTTTACAAATGGTTTTCATTGTTTTACAAATTACGGCAGATTTATTTTTGTACCATAACATACATACTTTCATGTACTTTTATTCAAGTTATTTCTCTTTTTGGAAGAGAAATATATAGTTGGTTTATAGGGAACTCTACAATAAAAGTGTTCTGTTTATCAGTTATGTTAAATGTAGTGACTGAATAAGATGTGTCACTGGTGTATAAGAACTTATATTAAATATGTTCTTCTCTTGAGATAATTAGGAAATGTTATTCTTTAAAATACAGTATTCAGTATTGTGCATGTTTTTTCAGTTATTGTATAGAAGTATCTGTTGGATCTTTTCAGAATTACTGGATCTTCAGCCTTTGCCAATTACGGCTTTGGGATGTAAAGCATATGAAGCCCTGTACAACTTCAGCCACTTTAACCCTGTGCAGACACAAATATTTCATACACTGTATCACACAGACTGTAATGTCCTACTTGGAGCACCCACAGGATCAGGAAAGACTGTTGCAGCTGAATTAGCTATTTTCAGAGTCTTCAACAAGTATCCCTCCTCAAAGGTATGTTGAACATATTGTGTGCTTATTATATTCAGTTAGAAAAGATAGTTAATGTCTCTAAACTAGCCAGGTCCAAATATCCTGGCATACTCTGGTGAATAGCTTTGTTATACTCTCAGTGAATTTTCCAGGGGGCCAGATCAGTATTAGAATAATTTGTTGCAAAAAAATTGTTATCAACTTTGGAGTCTTCTAGGTGAATTTCTCATGTATATAGTGCTCACACATCCTCATATCTATAATTCATGGGTACTTCTTTTATGAGGTAATTAATTCTTAGCTGTACTTGTTAGGTATATAACAATTCTTAATCATTCTTTGGATATGAATGAAATGCTAATACTTTAAAACACTTTGATTATACACAGGAAATATAGACATAACTTATGCTACATTCCTCCAAATATTGATATTGCCAATTAATGTCAAATAACACTGGAATCAAATAAGTATTGATTTTTAATTTTTTTAAAACATAATATTTAGTAAATTTTTTCCCAATGCTATTTTATTTTTAATAAAGATGATTTATATTTGAGGTGTTCAATGTGATACTTAAATATACATATACATTATAAAATAATTGCTAGAATCAAGATAGCTCAGATATCCATCACTTCAGATAATTACATATTTTTGCAGTGGGAACATTTAATATCTAGTCAGCAAATTTCAAGTCTATTAGTACAATATTATTAAATACAGTCACCCTTCTGCACGTTAGATCTCTAGAACTTGTTCTACATAAATGAAACTTTGTATCCTTTAAGCAATATCTCCTTATATCCCCCACTTTCACCCCTCTCAACCATTATTTTACTCTGCTTCTATGTATTTGACTTTTTAAAATTGCACCTGTCAGTGAAATTATTCAGTGTTTTGTTGTTTTCAGCTTATTTCTCTTAACACAATGTATATTATTGCAAATGGCAAGATTTTCTTCTTTTGTAAAGCTGAAAGATCTCCCATTATGTTTCAGTTTCTTTTTTCATCCATCTTGGGTCACTTAGACTGTTTCTTTATCTTGGCTTTTTTAATCAATGATGTAATAAACATAGAAGTGTACATGTCTTTGAGATATTGATCTCATTTCTTTTGGATATGTATTCAAAAGTAGAATTCCTATGATGATGATGATGTTTTCTATGTATAATTTCTTAAGGCTCTCCATGTGTATTTTCCATAATGGCTTCCCCAACTACATTTCTACCATCAGTGTGTAGCAGTTTCCTTTTCTCCACATCCTTGCCAGTACTTTCGTTGTTTTAATAGTATTCGTTCTAACAGATGTGAGGTGTTGACTCATTGTGATTTTTAAAAAATATTTATTTTTTAGTTGTTGTTGGATACAATACCTTTATTTTATTTATTTTTATGTGATGCTGAGGATCGAACCCAGGGCCTCTCACGTGCTAGACGTGTGCTTTACCACTGAGCCACAACCCCAGCCCTCATTGTGATTTTTGATTTGCATTTCCCCAATGATTAGTGAAAGTAAGCACCTTTTCATGTCTGTTAGCCATTCTGTATTTCAACAGAATGATATCTATTTGCCTCATTTGTCCCTCCACCTTTTTTTTTCTATAATAGAATTTTTAGGCTTTTTGTTCTTGGGTTATGAGTGCCTTATATATTTTGGATATTAACACCTTATTAACATCTGCAAGAATTTTCTCCTATTACATATGTTATTTTTTTAATTCATTGATTGCTTCCTTTTCTGTGCAGAAGTTTTGTAGCTTTGGTGCACCCCTGTTTGTTTATTTGCACCTTTTTTTCCTGTGTTCCTGGGAACATATTCAAAAACTCATTGCTAAGACCAGTGTCAAGATCTTTTTCCCTGTTTTCTTCTAGGAGTTTTATGGTTTCAGATCTTACATCTAAGTTTTTAGTAAATTTCAAGATAATTTTTGCATATGGTGTAAGACAAGGTTCCAGTTTTATTCTGTTAAATGTAGATGTTCAATTTTATCAACACCATTTATTGAAGCCTATCCTTTTCCTTCTTGGTATTCTTGTCAGATTAGTGACAAGTGTGTGTTTATTTCTAGACTCTATTCTGTTCTGTTAGTCTATGTGTATATGTTTGTGCCAGCGCCATACTATCTTAATTATTGAAGCTTTGTACTATAATTTGTAGTCAAGAAGTAGAATGCCTCTAACTTTATTCTTTCTCAGGATTTCTTTGGGTTTTGGTTTTTCATGGTTCCTTAATAATTTAGATTTTTTCTGTCTCTAAGAAAAATGCTATTGGCATTTGTTAGGGATTACATTGAATCTGTAGATTGTTCTGGGTAGTTAATTTCTTACTTTTTTTCAGTTAATCGTTTAATTTTATTTTATATGCTTATAAAACAGCATAATGTGTCTCAGATTGCAATAAAGTCTACTGTACTGGAAAGTGGAAGCTAGAAAAGGAGACTGTGATCCAGAATGGGTAGACACTTTTTCATACTTTATGATGGCAAGTTTCAAAACCTCACTGGACCTTTATTCCTTGATGAAATAGATGAACTGTGATTGCACGCGTTTATTCTGGTTCTCATGTTGAGGAATTTTCTCTGTTGTTGTCAGTACTCCTTGAATAAATGTAGAAACAGGGCAAACTTAATTTAACTAAATAAAACTCCAAAGGAAACAGAATGATTTCATTACATGAAATCAATCAGGGGCTTCCAAATTTTTCCATAGTTTGTCAAAGAAAGAAAATCAGGTTTTTGTTCTACCCCCACTACCAATTTATTGTGTGACAGAAGGGTCGTCACAACTTCTCTGGAACTTTTTCCTAAAAAATTGTATTAAATCATTTCTAAAGCCCCATCATTTCTGAAATTCTAGAATTCTTTGATTTTAGCTATAACCTTATGAAAAAGAAAGGGTTTTTTCTTTTTTATCATTATTATTTTTTTACATGACAGTAGAGTATATTTTGAAATATTATACATACATAGAATAAGTATAACTTGTTACAATTAGGATACTATTATTGTGGTTGTACATAATGTAGTGTTACACTGGTCATTTATTTATATATGAGGATAGGAATGATATTCCATATTCATTCTACTGTCTTTCCTATTGCAGTCACCCCCTCCCTTTCCTTCATTTCCCTTTGTCTAGTCCAGTGAATTTCGAATCTTCCCCTCCTTTGTTGTGGGTTATCATCCACATATCAGAAAGAACATTCTGCCTTTGGATTTTTGTGACTGACTTATTTAACTTAGCATGATATTCTTTAGTTCCATTTACTAACAAGCAAATGCCATAATTTCATTCTTCTTTATGACTAAGTAATATTCCATTGTGTATATATACCACAATATTTTCATCCATTCATCTCTTCAAGGGCACCTAGGTTGGTATCATAGCTATTTTGAATTGAGCTGCTATAAACATTGAAGTAGCTGTGTCACTGTAGTATGCTAATTTTAAGTCCTTTGGATATAAAGAAAGGAGTGGAATAACAGGGTCAAATGGTAGTTCCATTCCAAGTTTTCTTTTTTTTATTATTTCTTACATACATGACAATAGTGGAGTGCAATACATTCATAATTTTTTGAATTACGATTCTTAATACACCTTTATACCACAATTTATCAAATCTCTGTATTTATAGTGTTGACTCTAGCTCAGTAGTTCCTTCGACACAGAATGTACAACCATTCCAAGTTTTCTAAGGAATCTCCAGACTGCTTTCTGAGTGTTTGCACCAATTTGCAGTCCCACCAACAATGTATAAATGAACCTCTGCTATTCTGACTGGGGTGAGATGAAATTTCAGTGTAGCTTTGATTTGTGTTTCTCTAATTGCTAGAGATGTTGAACATTTTTTCATATATTTTTTGACCATTCATATTTTTTCTTCTGAGAAGTGCCTGTTTAGTTCCTTAACCCATTTGTCAATTGGGTTATTTGTTTTTGTTGTTGTTTACTTATTTATTTGGTTAAGTTTGTTGATTTCTGTATATATCCTGGAGATTAATGCTCTGTCTAAGATGCTGGTGGCAAAGATTGTCTTCCATATTGTAGGCTCTCTGTTCACATTCTTGATTGTTTCCTTTGTTGTGAAGAAACTTTTTATTGATTTTTTATTGATTCTTTATTTTATTTCTTGTGCTTTAGGAATCTTATTGAGGAAGTCCTTTCCTAAGCCAACATGGTGGAGAGTTGGTCCTAATTTTTCTTCTAGCATGTACAAAGTCTCTGGTCTAATGCCTAAGTCCTTGATCCACTTTGAGTTGAGTTTTGTGCAGGGTGAGAGACAGAGGTTCTTTGATTGATGTTGTATATTTTCCTTGGAAAGATTTTTATCTTCTTGATTAAATTCTAAGTATATTTTGATGTTGTTGTGAATGGAATTGTTTTCTTTATTTCTTTTCAGATAACTCATTGTTAGTTTTAAGAAATGCTACTGATTTTTGTTTATTGATTTTTATGTCTTGTACCTTTCTTGACTTTGCTTATTAATTCTAACAGGTTTATTTTTTTAATGTAGCATTTAAGGTTTTCTTGTTTTTAAATTATACGAGTATATTACATTTGAAATAGAGGTATCTTAGACATGTTGCAATTATGTGCTGTTTCTTCATCATGTGTGATTTCAGAAATATTCAGACTTCCTTTTTCCATGATTTTCAGTTAGTGTTTTTTCTTTCTTACTTTGTTTCTCTATTTTTTTAAAAAATATTTTTGTAGATGTATGGACCTTATTTTATTCATTTATTTATATGTGGTGCTGAGAATTGAACCCAGTATTTTTAATCTGTTATATGATTATTGATCCACAGAAATATTTTAGTAAAAAAGAAGAGTTAAGTTTTGTGCATGGTGAGAGATAGAGGTTTAATTTCATTTTGTTGCATATGGATTTTCAGTTTTCTCAGTACTATTTGTTGAAGAGGCTATCTTTTCTTCAATGCATGTTCTTGGCACCTTTGTCTAATATAAAATAATTGTAGTTTTGTGGGTTAGTCTCTATGTCCTCTATTCTGTACCATTGGTCTACCAATCTGTTTTGGTGCCAATACCAGGCCATTTTTGTTACTATTGCTCTGTAGTATAAATTGTGGTCTGGTATAGTGATGCCACCTGCTTCAATCTTCCTGCTAAGGATTGTTTACCCTGCATCTAATAGAAGAAAAAGTAAGCCCTAATCTCCATCATGTGGGATTAGGCCCCAATTTCCTTAAGAAGCCTCCTGTGGCACAAGAATTAAAATCAAGAATCAATAAATGGGATGGACTCAAACTAAAAAGTTTCTTCTCAGCAAAAGAAACAATAAGTGAGATGAATAGAGAGCCTCCATCTTGAGACCAAATTTTTACCCCTCACACATCAGATAGAGCACTAATCTTAATCTCTGTGGTATATAAAGAACTCAAAAAGCTAAACACCAAAAGAACAAATAACCCAATCAATAAATGGGCCAAGGACCTGAACAGACACTTCTCAGAAGATGATGTACAATTAGTCGACAAATACATGAAAAAATGTTCATCATCACTAGCAATTAGAGAAATGCAAATCAAAACCACCCAGATTTCATCTCACTCCAGGCAGCTATTAAGAATACAAACAACAATAAGTGTTGGTGAGGATGTGGGGAAAAAGTTACACTCATACACTGCTGGTGGGACTGCAAATTGGTGCAGCCAATATGGAAAGCAGTATGGAGATTTCTTAGAAAATTAGGAATGGAACCACCATTTGACCCAGCTGTTCCTCTCCTCGGACCATACCCAAAGGACTTAAAAACAGCATACTACAGGGACACAGCCACATGGATGTTTATAGCAGCACAATTCACAATAGCTAAACTGTGGAGCCAACCTAGATGCCCTTCAATAGATGAATGGATTTTTAAAATGTGGAAAATATGCACAATGGAATATTACTCAGCAATTAAAAAAGTAAAATCATTGCATTTGCAGGTAAATGGATGGCATTGGAGAAGATAATGCTAAGTGAAGTTAGCCAATCCCAAAAAAACAAATGCAGAATGTTTTCTTGGATATAAGGAGGCTGATTTGTAGTGGGGTGGGGAATGGGAGCATGGGTGGAATAGACAAACTCTAGATAGGGCAGAGGGTTTGGAGGGAAAGGGAGGGGGTGTGGGGTTATTAATGATGGTGGAATGTGATGATCATTATTATACAAAGTTTATATATAAAGACATGAATTGGTGTGAATATATTGTGTATACAACCAGAGATATGAAAAATTGTGCTCTATATATGTAATAAGAATTGTAATGCATTCTGCTGTCATATATTTTAAAAAATCAAAAAGAAGAGTTAATGCTCTAGTTTGAGACATTTTTTAAACAAGTGCTGTTTTAGTGAATAATGTATTTTATAAAATTGAAACAGCTAAGATATATGACTGGAATTTGTTAAGATCTGCATTAAAATTTAAACAGTTTGTTTCTCATACATTGTTGATGGGACTTCAAATTAGTATAACTACTTTGGAAAGCGATATGGAGATTTCCCCAAAGACCAGAAATTGAACCACCATATGATCCAGCTATCCCACTCCTTGGTATTTATCCAAAAAGTTTAAATCAGCATACGGGTACATCAATCTTTATAGAAATGCAAGTCATAATACTCAAGTTATGGAACCAGCCCAAGGGCCCATAAACATATGACTGGGTAAAGAAACTGGTATATATATATACATGGAAACTGCATATATACATGGAATTTTACTCAACTATAATTATGGCATTTTCCAGTAAATAGATGGAACTGAAGAACATCATGCTAAGTGAAATAAGCCATATGTCAGAAAGGATTGAATTCTTTTTTTTTTTCACATGTGGAAGCTAGAGCAAAATAAGGGGGAAAAGAGGGAAGGGGAATTATTTGAAAATAGAAGGGAGATCAATGGAGTAGAGAAAGGGAACAGAGTGGGAAGGAGGTGGGACAGGGAAAGAGAGGAACTGTAGAATGCAATAGACCGAAGTATGCAAATTGAATTCCACATTTATATATAACTATAAAGCACCAATTAAAAATAAATAAATAAGAAGGAGGACCAGTAGAGTAGAAGACAGGGAAGAGGGAATGGAAAGAAGCAGTACTGGGAGCTAAAATGGATCATCAAATTATATTCCATGCATATATGATTATGTCAAAATGAACCCCAATATTATGTATGACTACAATGTACTAATAAAAGTGCTAAAAGTAATAATTAAAAAACCTTGAAAAAAACTTCAAAATACATTACTTCAAAATACATTATTTCAGGAGTTACAGCTTAGATGAATCTTGAGCATAATAGGAAATCATATATTTATTTTTGTCAAAATCCTGATTTTTTGTGTAATATATATTCTCATAGTTTTATAAATGTATTAACATTGTTAGAACAGAATTTCATTATAAAATGCCTAAGGAAAATACCTTTAGTGTTTTTTTTTAATTTTAAATTCACCTGTTAGTATTTTTATGATAGAATGTTTATGATGCATTAATTTTCTCTTTATTTTGGATACGTGTAGTTTAACTTAATGACCTTTTTCTCAATAATTTAAAAATTTAAGTATTCTGTGAAATTTAAAAACCACACTGTCCTGTTTTGACAAATTTTATGTTTATTTTATTTGAAAAATGACCTTATTGTTCTTATTAAAGTCCTATTGCTCATTGCCCCCTCTTTAGGCAGTTTATATTGCACCCCTAAAAGCCCTAGTTCGTGAAAGAATGGATGACTGGAAGGTTAGAATAGAAGAAAAACTTGGTAAAAAGTAAGTTCCTTTTTTTGTTCAAGAGATACACTTTCAATAGTCTGAAAAGACCAATAAATGAAAGAGTTACATAATACCTATGAATATGTTTACAGCGTTTTTTTTAATCTTTTATTTAAAAGTTCATAGCTACTATAAAATGGTGTCAATATTCCCATGTTTTAAGATTGAAAAATGAACTTCTTTTAATTTCTTAATATGAATACTTTTAGGTGGCAGCTAACTTTTTCTATATATATTATAGTACATATATATAATTTTTCATATTTTTAGTTGTAGATGGACACAATACCTTAATTTTATTTATTTATTTTTGTGCTGAACCCTGTGCCTCACATGTACTAGGCAAGCGTTCTCTCACTGAGCTATACTCCCAATCCCTTCAATATGTTCTCATTGTAAAAGAAACATGTTATTTCTCTTTATTTTTTTCTCATGTTGTTCAGAGTAAATTCTAGAAACCACTTAAAAGGCATTGTGTATGGAGAGTACTTATGACATGTAAAACTTCTTTGACGAATATATTGTTTTTACTTACTATTTTTGAATATTACAAAACCATTCATTAAAGTATATAGCAAATGATTGTGGATAATTATATGTCCAATAGAGCATCACTAATTATATACCTCTACCCAATGCAAAAATATTGTATAACTATATAGATCAATGAGCTTTTTTATACACTGAATAAATGATCTCTAGGGATAATTGGAAAAAATAAGACTTTTAAGTAAACTGTCCTATCCCTTTTTTAAAAAAACGATAAAATACAAATATATGAATGCTTTTGGATGAGAATTAGGTGGGATGTTCCAGAGATGATTCACAACATATTCTTTGAATAATGTGAATATATTATATATTCAGTATCCTGGTATGTTTTAATTTATTTGTTATCTTGAGAAAATTTAAACCTAAGAAATGAAAGTTATACACAATCTATTATTATTGAGTGTCCCCTTTTATCAAGTTAATACTTTCCCTCATTAAAAAATAATAATGATATTTATTTCCAAAAATGTTTTTCCCCCCAAAGAAAAAAGATTTTAGTTCCACTCTGTAGAGGAGATAGAAGTTCACCTTTATAAATTCACTTAGAGTAAAGATTCTATAAATATAGTCAAAACAAAGTCTGACACTTTTGTACATCTGTATAAAAGATGTGTCAGTGAATTGGATTTATATTTTTGACTCATTTCAGAAAATTTCAGAAATCAAAGAGGAAAAAAGTAGTTTTAAGCATCATAAAATTTTATTGGATTGATATATTGTTGCCTTTACAAGATTATGTGTTACTTGAGAGTCATTTTTATTTCCCTCCAGAGTTATTGAACTAACGGGGGATGTGAGTCCTGATATGAAATCCATTGCCCAGGCTGACCTTATTGTCACTACACCAGAAAAGTGGGATGGAGTCAGCAGAAGCTGGCAAAATAGGAACTATGTTCAGCAAGTTACTATTCTCATCATAGATGAAATTCATCTGCTTGGTTGGTACCACTCTTTCTAAGTAATTATACAAACTTTGAGTCTTTTTATTGATATTATTTTTAATTGACAGATAATTGTATATAATGTTGGGGTACAATGTAATATTTTAAGATGTGCACACATACGCACACACATACGCTCACACACACAGTGTGGAATCAAGCAAATTAACATCTGTTACATCAATTGTAATTTTTATGGTGAGACATTAGAAATTTATTCTTTTAGCAATTTTTAAATATACATTTAGCTTTTTCATTTCTTTCTGACTGAAAGACCTGACCAGAACTATTTTAGAGGAGTAAAGTTCGTTAGGTTCTCATGTTTTAAGAGGTCTCAGTCTATAAAAGTTCAATTTCATTGCTGTGGGTCTGAGGTATAGCAGAACATCATGGCAGCTCAGTTTATGGCAATCATGAAGCAGAAAGAACTCTGCTCACCAGAGACAAAATATAAACCCCAAAGGCAAACACCTAGTGACCTGTCTCCTCCAGCTATATTCTGCCTGCCTAGAATTACCACCCAGTTAATCCATATCACTGGGTTAACCCACTATAGATTACAACACTTATTATCATTTCACCTCTGAGTGTTCTTGCATTGTCTCACACATGAGCTTTTGGGGAAACCACATATCACAACTATAACATACATTATTGTTGACTATAGTTGGCCTGGTGTACTGTGTATACTCACACACTCATTTCTCCTGTCTAACTGAAACTTCATATCCTTTGGTCAATATCTCCCTATTCCTTTTCAACCCCCAGCATCTGGCAACTACCAGTCTACTCTTTATATCAATTTTGACTTTTTTTTTTTTTTGATTCCACATATAGGTTAGATCATTCAGTTTTTTCCTGGTTTTATTCTTTTTACATAATGCCCTCCAACTTCATCCATAGTGTTACAAATGACAGAATATCATTCTTTTTTATTGCTTAAAAGTATAAACATGCATATATGCATATACACACATGAACACACACTTATATATACACAGCACATTTTCTTTATTCATTTGGTAACGGTCACTTAGGTAGATTCCATTTCTTAGCTATTATGAACAGTGCTGCATTGAACTTGAAAGCACATATATCTCTTCAGCATATTGATTTCATTTCCTTTGGATATATACCCAGAAATGGGATTACTCTATCATATGGTAGTGTTATCTTTAGGTTTTTGAGGAACCTATAAACTTGACTTCATGCCTGCCTGCAGCAGCCATTTTGAATTTGTCAAATGATTAATGTATATTATTCTTATTTCCTAGGGGAAGAAAGAGGTCCTGTTCTAGAAGTCATTGTATCTCGAACAAATTTTATCTCCTCACACACAGAAAAGCCTGTTAGGATAGTTGGATTGTCTACTGCATTAGCTAATGCCAGAGACCTTGCTGACTGGCTAAATATTAAGCAGGTATGTGAAAGATGGATAAGTCAGGCAGTAACATGACATAGGTAGCCACATTAAGGAGGCATCATAACATTATGAACATATATATGTTTGTATAATATATAAATTGAAATGGTTTCTCTCATCTTAACTATAGATGGGCTTGTTCAACTTCCGACCATCAGTACGCCCTGTTCCACTGGAAGTTCACATTCAAGGCTTTCCAGGTCAACATTACTGTCCCCGCATGGCAAGTATGAACAAGCCTGCATTTCAGGGTGAGCTTCAGTTTCTACTATTTCAGATTGAAATAGTAACCATTCTGTATTATAGCTATCAATTGTATTCTAAATGGTTTGGGTTTATTTTAAAGGGTAATAGTGGTCCAACTTATGCAAATATCTAAAGCTGATTACTTCAACTGTTAAGGAATATATATGTTAAACTACATTGAAATTAGACATATCTCACAAAAGTGTCTTTGTAGTAGGATACAAATATGTAATTTTGAAAGCAATCAAATAATTCTATTAACATTTTCTTAGGACAATTACTAGTTTAAACAGTGATCAATAGAAACAAGTAAAAATTCACATAATCTTTATTTTTACTAGAAACCATAAAACTTTCAGTACTTTTTTACAGTAATTTAGTTTTTGTTTTGTTTTTTCATTTTTCCATTTCTAAAAAATTCGTCAAACAGGAAAGATTTAAGAATAACACTCCTATTTTATTGAAACATGTTTAATTTAGACTACATTAGGAATATTTATTGTATCAATTAAAAATAACCTCCAAAATAAATTGTCTAATGTGAACTGCTGTTGATTGTGAGGTGACAGTTGTGAGGTGACTTTTTAGCTTCTGTAATTAGCCTTATGACAGAAGCAAAGTATTGATTGTAAGCTAGAGACCAATCTCAGCCATTCAGATTATTTACACCTCCACAGAAGCATTGTACAAAATCACTAATGAACAATAAATCTGCTGGGAACTGTTCAGCTACACCTGTTCTTGTAGCAGCAAAAATCCATTAAATGTTGTGGTTTAAAAAAGAGACAAATTCATTCATGATTGTGTGTACAAATGATACCAATATTGCAATAATATGTGAGTTTAAACATTGCTTTTGTAATGATTTACAATCAATTTATCCTTTATATACTATACTATTCTGATAAATGGTTTTAAAAAGTGGGAAATAAGATAAATGAGTTTATTTTTCATGTGTATTGTTGAAAATGTGTATATCTATTTAAGAAATGGCTGATTGCATACCATTAATGGAAATAAAGCATTTTGTATTTTGTAAATCAATAGTAAATAGCTGAAATTCCTGCACTTCTTCAGATACAGTATCAGCACAACTGCTGTCCTTGTAAACTATTTATTACACTGGTAGTGATTACTGTATTTCTTTGAGTTTAGAAGTCAAGGTCATGTCAGCATTTCCATTATAAACCTTATATCTCAGGACATAAAAAGGAATTCTTTACATTTCAAACAAGAAATTACAACAAAGTTGAACTTTTTCACATAAAATTTGTGAATATCTCTGTGTTAAGAAAGCTATATAGACATTTATAAATTCTGCTTGGGCTATCTTATCAGCATTTTGGAGTAAAGAAACCTCAGTTCCAGTTAGAGCAAAATGATTTATGTGGTTCTTTAAGTAATTTTTTTTATAGGTTTGATTTACAGTATTCCTCCAGTGTTGTTACTCAGGTTTCCCAATATTCATTTCACCTTGTGTGTGCTGAGCATTCCTGTGCTATTTCTCAGATGTACATTCAGGCAGAGCAACCTCTTAGCCAACTTCTGTATTTTATTTCCCACTTGAAAAGTCCTGGTTTTAGAAAATCTGAGGGAAAATATTCTTTTGATTTATTTCTTGTCTGTTTCTTGGGACAATCTCTTCTAATTTTTCCATCTCATAACAGGGAAAAAATAAAAAGGAATTATCTGTAGTCTTTGAACATTTTTCATCACCCTGAAGGACTTGAATTTTGCAAGGAAAGCAAAAGGAAACAGAAGCAAGGTGCAGAGTCAAAGCAAAAGCTGCTGGCCCGAGCTTCTAGCTTTATTTATATAAATAGGTTACATTAGGTCATTGTCATCATTAGTACGTATTGTTCATTGTATCACTAGGGAGGTTAGAGAGTTAGCAACATTGTGCAGCTTATTCCTCAATTACATACTAAGTTGCAATGTGCAATGTTAGGAGCTTTGTGTAACTCTCAAGAAAGCTTATTGTATAAAGTTACTGTCATATGGACAGGTTTAGACTCAGTGGTTGTCTAACAAGAGAGTTTCTTTATTCCTAGAAGCTGAGTATCTTGAGATCAAGGTCTAGGCTGATAAGACTCTAACACAGCCTCCTCATGGAGGGCATTACCATAGCAGCGAGGCATTGTATATGTAATAGTTATCTTACTAGTTCCTGGGAGAAACTGCAGAATATTCCAACCGTGGACAACAAAATGTCCATTATTCCCTGGGAGTTTGCTCACCAGAGGAAATTTGTTGTCTTATATATTTCCACATCCAGAATCCTTACAGAATCTTATCAGATCCCAGGACCAATTAACTATAATATCACAATTTACACAGGCAGAAATATTTCAGAAACACTACTTAGAAATAGAAAACTCAACTTAATCATGTGAGCATTTAAGGTTCTCCTTCCAGGTCAATTCAGAATAGAACTTGGAGCATTATGCTCATTAGATAGAGCCAGGAATCTCTCCTTTCCTGTCATCTATGTAGAATGCTGTCAGATCCATTCAGTACCTGGAATAATGCTAAATGTTATGACCAAATTAAAAATTCAGCTAAATCATTTGCTGCTGAGAGCCATGGCCCAGTCTGTATGGCCCCTGGCATTTTGCCAACAGTATTGATTGACAGGCGAGGCATTACTATCCGCCTCTGCCGCAACTTTTGAGTTCTCGCACTATTTTGGAGTTCTCGTGGGGATTTCCGGGGACTCCCCGAGAGTTCCCATTGGTTGGGGAAGTGCAGGAGGAGGGATTTTCCGGGAGAGATATTTCCGGCTGGGGGTTCCTGGACAAGCCTCCTGGCGCGTTCGGGAGGATTCCCCGGGAGCTGTGTGAAGTGTTTTCCTGCAGTTTAAAAATAAAGTTTGTTCCTGCTTCAGTGGCTCGTGATTTGTGCCCAGCCAGACTGCGGCAATTTGCACCATCAGTTTTGTACACCTATTTGATATCTATCTGAAATTTATCTTTAGTGTTAAGCAACTTAACATTTCATTTTCCACAACTTTACAACAGCAATTAGAAGTCATTCTCCAGCCAAACCTGTTTTGATATTTGTCTCATCAAGACGTCAGACTAGACTTACTGCTTTGGAATTGATAGCCTTTCTGGCTACTGAAGAAGATCCAAAGCAATGGTTGAACATGGATGAAAGAGAAGTAAGCAACATTTTTTTCTTCTTCTTATACATATCAGATTTGTTTGTATTATATTATAATGGAAATATAGATTTCTGTTTAGTTTTATTCTACAATAAAAGTATAAAATAACAGAAATTTAGAAAACAAATAATAGAGGAAAGAAGAAATGTATTACACTGCCACCTTAAAACAACAAGATTAATATTCTAGTTAGTATTTTCCCATTAAATATTTACTTTAGGTATTCATGTTTGACTTTTTCCTTTGATGTCATCATGATGTATATATTTTATACTCAACTATGTGTTTATAAATTTTGAACATTCCCTGCCCTTATAGAACTTATGATCACTTTTATAAAATTAAATTTTTAAAAAATATACAATATAATCATTGTTTGAAATTTAGAAAATACTAAAAGGTATATAAGAATTTTAAACTACTATAAAAACTACGTGGTTTTATTCCTTTATGTAGATAGTTCATAATTTCTTTGTTTGTCATTATGCATTTTTAGTATCAGCTATGGTTTATTTAGAATTATTTCCTCAATATAGTGTTGTAAAAATAAAATTAGTGGGTCAAGTAATGAGAACTTTTCCACAGCTTTTTGTACACACTGCTAATTACTTTCCAAAAGGATTATATTAATTAATGTTTTCACCATTAATGTAAGAATCACCAGCAGTATAGAAAAGTAACAGATTTTCTCATTTGTTGTAGTATATTGATGTATTATGATAAAATGTTTCTTATTGTGTTAACGTATGCCTTAATTTTAATTATTGAACATTTCTTTCATATATTTATTTAGTTTATTTTTCTTTGCTGTCTCTTCAATTCCTTTGGTCTTTTATCTCTTTCAGTATACTTACAGATTTATTTGAGAGCCATGCCAAATTTAAAAATTTTATATATATAAAACTTTAAATATTACTTTTCATACATATATAAATACTAATGTGCATATACATATTAATTATACACTCAGTTTGATAGTTCATTGCTTACCTTTTTGTCATCATGGTATATTTTCACAAATAGAAGATTTTTCATCTTATGTTTCCCTCTGATTCTTAGATATACCTCCTCTGTTCCATAGATTTAATATATAGTAATTTTCCTTCCTTACATTTTTCCAATTTAAAAAAATATTTTCCTAGATTGAATTATGATGAAATCAGCAACATGATTGTTGCATTGTCATCTCTCACCCTTCCTTCTTTCACATACACCTTTTGTGATCTCATGCACTGAGAAACAGTACCGTTCATCATCAATAACAAGATTCCAAACATCCAGTCTTATAGTTTGCATATTTCTTCCTCTCCACTTCTCATGATTCATTTAGGATTACTAAGTCTGTTGGATAGCACTGCTTATATTGCAATAATATGTAATAGTGAACTGCTATTTCGGAATATTCTTGTTTTGTTCCATAGATGACCTTATTCACTAGCATTGAGCCCCACACATTAGCTTAATATAAAGGGTATCAAATGACTACTTGAAGTAGAGTGAAAACTACCACTGTATCTTTAATTTTTTATTATTGTTTTCTTAATGTTTATGCTTATACTAAATATTTTTAAGATAATAATTTAAGGTCAAAATAAGTTTTTAAAAGATTTTTTGTCTTATGTTACCTGGTATACCCAAATAATCACCCCATTTTTGTCTAAAACAGTATAAATTAAGAGACAAAGCAAGAAATAGTTATATGGGATATTGATGACTCAGTTTATGTGCAGCATGTATCTTAGTTTAATTTTACTTCTCTTATGTTTTATCCCTAAAATTGTTCCAAATAGAAACTATTCTTTGAAGTCAGGGTACAGAGTACATACCTACTGAACACGTTTGAGGATGTTTGCTCAAAGTACGTAGGCACTATGCATTTAGCACATATGTGACTCACATTAACTTCAAATGTGAACCTCATGTGTTCTTCCCTGCTATAATACACTTCAATTTTTTTTTATTTTATTGTAATAATATGTGACCCAAGGAACTGTGAAAAAAATCATTATTTGTTTTATATATATATATATTTTTTTAATTTTTTATTGTTGGCTGTTAAAAACATTACATAGTTCTTGATATATCATATTTCACAATTTGATTCAAGTGGGTTATGAGCTCCCATTTTTACCCCATATACAGATTGCAGAATCACATCAGTTACACATCCATTGATTTACATATTGCCATACTAGTGTCTGTTGTATTCTGCTGCCTTTCCTATCCTCTACTATCCCCCCTCCCCTCCCCTCCCCTCCCCTCCCCTCTTCTCTCTCTGCTCCCTCTACTGACATTCGTTTGTCCCCCTTATATTATTTTTCCCCTTCCCCTCACTTCCTCTTGTATGTACTTTTGTATAACTCTGAGGGTCTCCTTCCATTTCCATGCATTTTCCCTTCTCTCTCCCTTTCCCTCCCACCTCTCATCCCTGTTTAATGTTAATCTTCTTCTCATGCTCTTCGACCCTACTCTGTTCTTAGTTACTCTCCTTATATCAAAGAAGACATTTGGCATTTGTTTTTTAGGGATTGGCTAGCTTCACTTAGCATAATCTGCTCTAATGCCATCCATTTCCCTGTAAATTCTATGATTTTGTCATTTTTTAATGCAGAGTAATACTCCATTGTGTATAAATGCCACATTTTTTTTATCCATTCATCCATTGAAGGGCATCTAGGTTGGTTCCACAGTCTAGCTCTTGTGAATTGTGCTGCTATGAACATTGATGTAGCAGTGTCCCTGTAGCATGCTCTTTTTAGGTCTTTAGGGAATAGACCGAGAAGGGGAATAGCTGGGTCAAATGGTGGCTCCATTCCCAGCTTTCCAAGAAATCTCCATACTGCTTTCCAAATTGGCTGCACCAATTTGCAGTCCCACCAGCAATGTACAAGTGTACCCTTTTCCCCACATCCTCGCCAGCACTTGTTGCTGTTTGACTTCATAATGGCTGCCAATCTAACTGGAGTGAGATGGTATCTTAGGGTGGTTTTGATTTGCATTTCTCTGACTGCTAGAGATGGTGAGCATTTTTTCATGTACTTGTTGATTGATTGTATGTCCTCCTCTGAGAAGTGTCTGTTCAGGTCCTTGGCCCATTTGTTGATTGGGTTGTTTGTTCTCTTATTGTCTAATTTTTGGAGTTCTTTGTATACTCTGGATATTAGGGCTCTATCTGAAGTGTGAGGAGTAAAGATTTGTTCCCAGGATGTAGGCTCTCTATTTACCTCTCTTATTGTATCTTTTGCTGAGAAAAAACTTTTTAGTTTGAGTAAGTCCCATTTGTTGATTCTAGTTATTAACTTTTGTGCTATGGGTGTCCTATTGCGGAATTTGGAGCCCGACCCCACAGTATGTAGATCGTAGCCAACTTTTTCTTCTATCAGACGGCGTGTCTCTGATTTGATATCAAGCTCCTTGATCCATTTTGAATTCACTTTTGTGCATGGCGAGAGAAAGGGATTCAGTTTCATTTTGTTGCATATGGATTTCCAGTTTTCCCAGCACCATTTGTTGAAGATGCTCTCTTTCCTCCATTGCATGCTTTTAGCCCCTTTATCAAATATAAGGTAGTTGTAGTTTTGTGGATTGGTTTCTGTGTCCTCTATTCTGTACCATTGGTCCACCCGCCTGTTTTGGTACCAGTACCATGCTGTTTTTGTTACTATTGCTCTGTAGTATAGTTTGAAGTCTGGTATCGCTATACCGCCTGATTCACACTTCCTGCTTAGCATTGTTTTTGCTATTCTGGGTCTTTTGTTTTTCCATATGAATTTCATGATTGCTTTCTCTATTTCTACAAGAAATGCCGTTGGGATTTTGATTGGCATTGCATTAAACCTATAGAGAACTTTTGGTAATATCGCCATTTTGATGATGTTAGTTCTGCCTATCCATGAACAGGGTATATTTTTCCATCTTCTAAGATCTTCTATTTCTCTCTTTAGAGTTCTGTAGTTTTCATTGTATAAGTCTTTCACCTCTTTTGTTAGGTTGATTCCCAAGTATTTTATTTTTTTTGAAGATATTGTGAATGGAGTGGTTGTCCTCATTTCCATTTCAGAGGCTTTGTCGCTGATATACAGGAATGCCTTTGATTTATGCGTGTTGATTTTATATCCTGCCACTTTGCTGAATTCATTTATTAGCTCTAATAGTTTCTTTGTAGAGGCTTTTGGGTCTGCTAGGTATAGAATCATGTCATCTGCAAATAGTGATAATTTAAGTTCTTCTTTTCCTATTTTTATGCCTTTAATTTCTTTCGTCTGTCTAATTGCTCTGGCCAGCGTTTCGAGAACTATGTTGAACAGAAGTGGTGAGAGAGGGCATCCCTGTCTTGTTCCAGATTTTAGAGGGAATGCATTCAATTTTTCTCCATTCAGAATGATGCTAGCCTGAGGCTTAGCATAGATTGCTTTTACAATATTGAGGTATGTTCCTGTTATCCCTAGTTTTTCTAGAGTTTTGAACATAAAGGGATGCTGTACTTTGTCGAATGCTTTTTCCGTATCTATCGAGATGATCATATGATTCTTATTTTTAAGTCTATTGATGTGGTGAATAACATTTATTGATTTCCGTATATTGAACCAGCCTTGCATCCCAGGGATGAATCCTACTTGATCATGGTGCACAATTTTTTTGATAAGTTTTTGTATCCGAGTGGCCAGAATTTTATTGAGGATTTTTGCATCTAGGTTCATTAGAGATATTGGTCTGTAGTTTTCTTTCTTCGAAGTGTCTTTGTCTGGTTTAGGTATCAGGGTGATGTTGGCCTCGTAGAATGAATTTGGAAGTTCTCCCTCTTTTTCTATTTCCCGAAGTAGCTTGAAAAGTATTGGTATTAGTTCCTCTTTAAAGGTTTTGTAAAACTCTGCTGTATACCCATCCAGTCCTGGGCTTTTCTTAGTTGGTAGTCTTTTGATGGTTTCTTCTATTTCCTCAATTGATATTGGTCTGTTTAGGTTGTCTATATCCTCCTGACTCAATCTGGGCAGATC